GGGAGAAGGGGGGAGGGGGGAGAAGATATACCAGGGTAATTGTGAGGCAGATTCCTCATCAGGGTTCGTACAGTAATTTCTTTCCCTCTTTCCCCTCCAAAACACACACACGCACACACACGGTCTTCAGCGTTTTAGGGTTTTACCCCCCCCCCCACGTCATCACCTGCCCTGATGCCCCTCCTCACCATCCTTCCCTGTCTCTAAGGACTTGTAGCAGCAGCGTCTGACGGGACGGATCCGAAACCAACATCTCGAGCATGTAGCCGCCATCAGCACCGCCGTCGCCGCCGCCGCCGCCGAGTGTGCTGCTACTGCCGTCGCCCGTCGGCCGCCCTGTCGCAGCAGCAGTAGCACGCATGTCGTTTGAGGGCTGCTCCCAACTGAAGCTGTTGGTTCCGGAGCGGGTAGGAGAGCGTTGTACGGCACCCCCGCGGACCTGGGACGGAAAATAGATACCGCGGTGGGTAGGTTAAAGGGCTTGAGATGCTGTCCTGATACATACATACATATATACATGCAGGAGTCGCTCCATTCCAGACCAGCGCGTGCGCAGATTCGTGCGAAAACAATCTGACCCGCGGGGTAATGCTGGCCTCCCAAAACACACACACAAAAAAAAAAGCGCGTCGGGTCATGCTCCTATGAGCACATTGCGCACACACACACACACACGTGTTTCCAATTCCCCCCCATCTTTCCTACCTTCTACCATTACGCACCTGCGCCATGACGTACACGTCCAGCCGCTCCGCCGCCGCCGCCGCCGCCTCCAGTCCCTCCACGCGCCGCAGCCGCAACCTCAGCAGCCCTGGCGGCGGCAGCTGCCGTACGCCGCCTCCTCCCTCCGCCTCTACCCCCGCCAGGTGTACGACAACGTGGCGTGGGTACAGCATAGTGCGCTGTAGCAGCAGCTGTGATTGCGTGTTTATGTGTGCGAGTGTGTATTTGCATGGCCGGGGGTGAGCGGGTGGAGAGGGGGATTAGTGTTGGGTTTTGACGGGTTTTGGGTTTTAACGTTCAGGGACGCTGGGAGTTGCTTTTTTCCGCGAATCCTGCGAGTCTGAGGGGGCCTGCAGGACGCAGCGACAAGGCGAGACAAACGGACAGACAGACAAACAAGTTTAAAAAAGACGCACGCAGGCATGGAGCTAATCCATCACCGCCAGATTGGTAAAACCGAAAACTTTCCCATGCCTCCTAAATTAGAAAATACTTGGATCTTAAGGTTGGTCCTCCCCCCCACCTGAACACCGCCTCGGAGTGCCCAACCGAGGACGGGAACCGCCAGCACATCTAAAGTCCAGCCGCCGCCGTAGCCGCCGTCACCTGTACGACGACCATCACCACCAGTACCAGCGTCGGCGTCGGCATGGACGCTGTACGACGCTCCAGTCGTCTCGTCCCGGGCTTCGCCGCCGTCCGCCGTCGATTTCGCCGCTGCCTCGGCGCCCTCCGCCTCTGCTGCCGCTGCCGCTGGCGGCGGCGGAGGGCGCCGCCGCCGCCGCCGCTGCCACGTGAGACCCCCCCATAAGTCCAGGCCCACTCCTAGGCTGGCGTCCAGTAGCGGCGGATGCAGCAGCGTTACACCGACGGCAGCTAGGTACGGCGGCTCCGGCAGCAGCGGTCCCAGAACGAGCCGTACGGACGCGCGCAGGTGCAGGCGGGAGAGGGACAGCAGCACTGGCGGGAGGACTAGCCGCGGCAAGCGGCGCAGGAAGCCGCCGCCGCCGCCGCCGCCGCCGTGCCGTACCGTAGATCGACCAGGGAAGCCAAAAGACACTCCGAGCTCCAACTGCTCGGAGGGTCGTTGTTCGTTGTTACCGGAAATAACAATCCCATTGTTTCATTAAATGTACGACGTATCCATGTGAGTGCGGTGATCTAAAGAAGCTGTAACGGTAATTTGAAAATGTTGTTCAGAGCACATTAATATCTTTTTGAGATAGGGCCTCCGAGAAGTACGGCGGAGAGGTACAGAAGTACGAAACTTTTGCTGATGACCTTACGTGCTGAAGTCTAGGTTAAGCAGGCAGTGCCGGACCCCATACCTCTCATTCCGCGACTCCACTCCCCTCTCCTCTGCCCACCTCCAATTCTGAAGCCCAGGCAATGTCGAACTCCACTACAAGCTCTTCGACGGCACCGCCGCTGCCACCGCCAGCGGCGGCAGCGGCGGTAGTGACGCCGCCGGCGCCGCCGCCGCCACCCGGCGGCGCCCAGCCGCCCGTCGCTTTGACGCCGCCGATTTGCGGCGGGGCCGCTGGACCTGCCGTACATCGCCGCAGCGTCAGCTCCGCCAAGCCAGGCACACCGCCCGCCGCCACCCGCGCCGCCGCCGCCGCTACCTGTTCACGAACGGCCGCCTCCGCCGCCGCCGCCAGCTGCGGCCACAGCAGCTTTAACAACTGGTTCAATGCGGAGGCCTGCGTCACAGTCCACGCGTACAGCGTACGGTGTACGGTGTACGGCGACATGCCGGCGAGGGAAGTCAGACATGCAAGAAGCACAAACCAACTGCCGACGGCCAGAGCCGATTGGATAAGGCCCCCCGGCGGGTGGAGTGTACGGATGGCATCCGAGAAGGTGCCGCGCACGGACATACATAACGACATACGGCGGGTGCCGCTACTACCATACGTGAGGCCCAGGGGCAGGAAAATACAGGTCTCAGGCAAGTCAAGAAACAATCCCAGTAGAAGGGGGAGGAAGGGGAGAGGAGCGGAGGGGAGGGGAGGGGGGTGATGGTAATGTACGGAAGATGAACCCTAAGTCAACGGAACTAGCGCTCGTGTCTCAGTGCAGTTGTGGGGGTCGGGGGGTGGGGTGGGGGGGGGTAAATGTAAGTGTATAACCCCAAAACACACACACACACACACACAAAAAAAAAACACGACCCTAGAAATGCAGTACCCCGTCGGAGGGAACGGGCCCGGCCCCCCGGGGAAAACACGAGGTCACGTTTTTCTTCAAAGGGCAGCGGGGGAGAGGAGGGAGAAGAGGAGCACCGCACTGCACAATTATTGAATTATTGGGCACGAGGCGAGAACTGGCGGCTGGTTATTGATGTCGTACATGTCTCCTTTCCAAGGAAGACATGTACATACATACATACACACATACACCACCTTTTCAAAGTCCGGTGCTCCTATCCAGGACGGGGCCAGGTCGAGAAGTTCCCTCTGACCCCGCGCACAAAGGACGTCCTCCACCAGACCGGCGGCGATGCCCGCGGCGGCACCGGCGGAGGCGACGCCGGCGGCGGCGCCAGCGCGAAGCCTCTCGATGCCAGCGGCGGCGGCGGCGCCCCCGCTCAGTGATGCGGGCAGCACTTGCTGCCCCTCGACAGTAACTTGAAGGTTTCGGAGCTGCACCCCACCAGGTAGATCCAAATGCAGATCTCTTTCCGTACTGCCGCCGCCAGCCGTGGCGCCGCCGCCGCCGGATTCCGCCACTTCAGGCGCCGCAACGTCGGGCGATGGCGGCGGCGGCGGTGACGAGGATAATGACTGAGGTGACGGCGACGATGGCGATGGTGATTGGGACGGCGGCGGCGGCGGTAAGGGCTCCGAGCGCGGCGGCAGATGAGGCGGCGGCGGCGGTGGCGGCGGCGATGGCGGTGACTGTGGCGACGGCGCTGCCCACGGTAGCGATATCGGCAACGGTGGCGGGGGCGACGGCGGTAAGGGCTCCACGTCGGCTGCCGCGCCGCCGGCCGGAATGTCGTACTCGACTGCGAGCGGGTCGAACCCATGGGTCCGTCGCGGAGGCATGCCGGCGGCCGCCGCGACCGCATGAGCGGGGCTGCTGGGCGGCGGCGCTTCAACTTCGTACAGACGAGGCGTCGGCTGAGGTAAGGTAGCCTCCGCTGCCGGCGCCGTCGTGGGGCCGAAAGCAATGGTTTCGGAGGGTGCGTGACGCGTGCCGCCGGCGGCGGCGCCGATGCCTGTTGAAGGAGGCGCGGTAGAAGGAGCCGCTGCCGCGGCCGCGGCCGCCGGAGGTGCCGCCGCTGAGGGTGGCGGTGGCGGCTGCAGTCGCTGCGCGAGGTTCTCGGCTGCATCCACGATCCTGCTACTCCAGGGACGGTGCTGAGGCTGTTTGGCTATGGTGGCGGCGGAGCCGCCGCCGCTGCCGTCATCTTGGTTCTGGTTGGTGCTGCTTTCGGATCCTAGGAGACCACTGACCTGTAATAAGAATACAAACAGGAATCCCGAGAAAAATAAAAAGGAGGCTGGTGGACCTCACAAGCGTTTGTGCGCGCGCGTTTTGCTCAATACGAATAGTTTGGCAATACTCCTTTTGGGGGATCGCGTTTCCTTCGCTTTCGCATTCCGGTGCTACGACAGGACGGAGCAGTGCAGGGCAGGGCTGGAAGGAAGCACTTTGGCCAAGGGCCTGCCCCGCCTCACAGCATCATCGTGCAAATCGGAAAAGAAAACTGCTTAGCAGCACCACATGACCTGCTGTAACAGAATGCAATCCTCGTGACCAGACACCAGAGCTACCAGGACTCCTTTCGCCATTTTTCTCAGCACCGGCGCCGCGCTTTCCCAGATCTGTAGCTTACCAGCAGGCCAGCAGCTGTGCCAGCTAAGCTACCAAACGCAACACAAAACATCTTTCCAAGCTGGAATTAAGGAAAGGTCCTTCGCGCGGGAAGATACTAGAGCCGCGCGAAAGAACTGTCAAAGCAGTGCTGCGCAAAACAGATGGAGCAGGGACGGAAAGGAAAAACACTTCAGGGCTGTCCGGGGATTTATGCTGTTACAGTATTTGCTTAAGATTCTACCTACTCCGCGCCACATCCAAAAGAGGGTTTCCTTACTTCTCGCTAGGCAAAGAGACACCACCTCCAGCACGATATCTGGTTGCGGAGGAGCGCAGGTGACTGCAGAGCGCCAAAACGAAGATTTAGAAGGATTAATTAACGGCGCCAAAGCCGCGCGACATCGTAATACGCATACGCAAAACGTAGTATGGGGACATGCCCGTCATCCAAAATGGATACACACAGGCAGTCACTTGGACGCGACACTAACATATGGTGCGACAGCAGGCAGGCGGGATCCGGATCACCAAAATGAGCTGTCACCAGTTATTACATCACCACATCGTGGGTCTAAGTTTCACCGACCCACGGGTCATCATACGACCGCGAGGATGCATTGCGGTCCCCTTTGCCTGCCGGCCGCTGTCAGACCCACCGCGGCCATAGCACTCCACTCCTCAGGGCCTCCTGCCGAGTCCGCGTTTTTATCATCGTCGCACATCCGTGCACAAAGTCATCCAATGGAGTATTGTTTCCCACAGCCTTCCTTTCTTCTAGTGGATACAATTAAGTTGAGAGCCCGACCGGCTCTGTTTGTGCAATTGCAAGCCCACTGCACTGCACAGCGCACTGTGGGTAATGTTACACGGCCAAGCATATTTCTCGTAGCTTCAGTAACAATATCACCTCGGGTAGAACGGAGTTGAAGATTGGAAAGGACGTGAAAGGACGTGAAATTTAACGTTTTATAGTTGCAGCAGGTTGTCTGTGGTCCAACTGGCAAACTGGCTCATTGTGGCTCATCCCTCTTCGGAGCTCCCACTTGGGAATACGGTACACCTCCTGGGTAGATGATGATGATGATGATGATGATGTTACTTGATGTACTCCTCGTAAACTCCCAGCCAGCCAGCCAGCCACAACGTGAACGCAGGAGCAGCTCTGTGGCCCCAATAACAACCCCCAAAACCCCGAAATAGATAGAATTGATAGAATTCCTCGTGTCAGGCGTCTTTTTGTGCATTACAGTGGTGTGTATATATACATATATACAGCGCACCATGGCCTCGCAGCGGCCAAAAAAGAACAGTACGGCGCACAGTAATGGCGCACAGTGCACCACCGTGCATTCGCCGCCGCCATGTCACCGCGTCTCCCCCACCCCCCGACCGCCAGCAAGGCCCCCAACTTGCATACCAACACACACGCATACACGTCTTCAGGTTTCAGCTGTACGACAGAATGTCGTAAGCACTGGTAGTGCTCTGCTGGCATGTGTGCATAGCGGCAGGTCGTTGGTTAATGTGTATGCATGAATGGGTTTTGGCGGTTGGCTGTTGTCATTGTTCACCGGGTAGCCGCTACAGCTCGACCCGCTCGCTCTCCGCAACAAGTCGACAACGACGATGACTTATTGCCCCTGCCTCTGCTATTGCTGCTGCTGCTGTTCGCGCGACACCACGGGTTGCTTGTCCGCATTGTCGTACAAATACTTCCAACCCTCCAACAAATGCGCGTATTCAGGGTTCCCCTGGGAAGGGAAAGGGATGTACGACAAGTCGGTGGCGGGTTCGGGTTTTACGAATGGTTTCGGAGTCGTTATCCAGGCGGAGGAGCTCCGTACCATACCGTACGGACTGAGACATGGGGCCGGCACAACCCCAACTCACGACACTCGACAGATAGACAGACGGACAGACAGACAGACAGCAACAGCCCATCCCCACAACCCAAGGGGTTGTGTTTTAACACGCCGTCAGTAACCCTCCCCACTGGGGGGACAGACTGCGGGGATAGGACCGGATCTCTGCCCGATGCAAAACACACCCCCGCATATACAGACAGACATACAGACGTACATACGCAGCTGCCGCCGCACTCCGCTTCACCCGCTCACCTCCGCCTCGCTGAGCGCCCTGGCCACCCACTCCTTCCCCCCCTCCACGTTCCGGCCACATCCATAACCCTGCATCACCATCTGACCCACCAGCGCCATGGACACTGGGTTGCCGGAAAGAGCCTCCTGACGGTGTGTGTGTATGTATGTATGTATGTATGTGTGTGCGGGTTTAAGGGAGGGTGAAAACGGGGGAGTAATAGGGGATACGTCAGGATTGGGAACCCCGGCCCGAAAAAAGGTAATAGAAAAGGTAATACAAGGACTGGAAAGGGGGAATGGGGTTTACGGGTTTGGGGAGTGTTTCGCGGGATGATGTGACGCGTGTGTATGACCGCTGTGTGTGTGTGTGTGTGACCGGTCGATGTGGCGTGTGTGTGTATGTGTGCTTGTGTGACATGACACCAGGCCCCTCATGTAAAATATGTCGATTGCCGTGCCGTACCTCCACTTCTTCATAGAACCATTGCGCCTCGCAATCCTCCACCGTCACGCGTAGTGGAGTGCCCACCCGCCCCTTCCGGGCACCGCCGGCGGCGCCGCTGGCGCCGCCGCTGCTACTGCCCAGGGCGCCGCCGCCGCAGCTCACAGAGGGATTTACGGCGACTCCCGCAAGAGCAGTAGATGGTTCGTGGATCTCCTGATCGCAGTGCTTATTATCCAGGATAGTCAAAGGGGTGATCTGAGATACCTGCTTGTGGAATGCCACTTGATGGTGATGTTGGGTGCGAAGTGCCGAATTCTGCAGGTCTGTTAAGGCCTCTGCGTTATCCAAAGGACAGGCAGTAATAAGGCAAGAAGCTAGAGACTAGAATGAGCTGCCCTCCAAAGAAGCGAACTTGCACATTTCCACAAGGCTTGAAGTTGCACATATGCAATTTAAACAGTATTCGAATATGCTTGTATAATAAATTCTCAGTATGTCCAATGTGAGATTGTGTTGAATGGGCGGTGGAAGGCTTTGTCATCGAAAAGGGCGCGACGACTGCTCTTCGTGCACACCGTTTTGCCACAGGAAAACTAATTTACTGTATGTGTGTTATACCCATGTAGAATCGATACATACTTCACACCATTTTGTTACATAGCTTTGTAGACTTCATTCGTTACAATGGCAAAGCGCAATGCAAAACGGGAGCCTGTGAAAGAGGTTGAGTCTGAAAGTGAAGATGAGCTTGAAGAACTCAACTTGGACGATGAAGCAAGCTCGGACGACGCGGACAGCGATGTCGACGCCGACGGCGAGGACGAGAGTGACGAGGAGGAGGACGCAGGCACAGCTTCAGACGCAGGCGAAGACGACGAAATTGATGACGCCATACTGGAGCTTATGGCTGCCCAGGCTGAGCGAGCGCAAAGGAGGGCCGCCGCCAGGACGACAGCTTCAGAAGGCGATGAGCCGGAAGAAAGGCGAGCAGCCCGGCCGCGTTTCCAATTACAAGCTTTCACGTGTGGGCCTTTCCAGGAAAATCTAGAATTGGTCAAATGTGTGGGTCGGGTCCAGTCCGCGCCGTTGAAAAACAGAACCGAACAAAACGTCCTCGCCGACACCCTCATCACGGGCGCCAATGGGGGTGTTCGGGACGTCACAGCGTCCTTATCCTGCCGTGCACCTTCACCCTCATTTACCGCCTCCTCATCCCCCTCCCCCTTCCCCCTCCCCCTCTTATCCTTGCAGCAGCAGCTTCACTGGCTCGCTGCTCGTCTTTTCCCCCGCCCCCCTCCCCCGTCCACTCGTTAATCCGTTATTTAAACCCAACCATCAGGCAGCTCCAACACACAAATATAAACACAAGCACATGTAAACTATTCGTGTACCATCATCGGCGTTACCCCCCCCCCTCAACGTCGCGGCTCCGAAGATCATCAAAACACACACACGGCCTCCCCCTCCCCTCCCGTCTTAACAACCCCACAGGCCGCTACAGGCCTCCACACGAACCGTAGGGAAGTCGCGAATGGCCGCCACCGCAGCGGCAGTAGCAGCCGATGAGGAAGGAGCGGCAGTAGCAGCCGATGAGGAAGGAGCGGCAGTAGCAGCCGGGAGAGGGGCTGGGGGTGAGGGGGGGCCCGGGGCGGAAGAGGGGGATGCTGACGAGCGAGGGGAAGGACGTGTTCCGGATCCAGGCAGCGATTCCAGCGAGGACGAGCGACCTAACCGAAATACCGTTGGTGCGGTGCCCCTGGAGTGGTACAAGGACGAGGAACACATTGGTTACGACATTGACGGCCGCCGGATCGCACGGTCTGTACGGAAAGACAAGCTGCAGCAGCTGCTGGACCGAAACGACTCCAAAAAGGTGTGTGTGTGTGTTTTGTTTTGTGTGTGTAGTAGGCAAGCTAGTAGTGAGACAGTTTACTTAGGAATGGCTCTTTCGTTACCTTCGTTACCTTGTGCCAACCAGCGGCCAGTCGGCACGTAACGCCCACCACCACCGCCTTCTCAGAGTGATTGCTTGCGGAGGATCGGGGAGGCGAAGGGGAAGAGGTGGAAGGTCTAAGAGGATGTCGTACTCTGTCGAAACACCACGTGCCTTGCCTTTCGCAACACCCCTGCCCAAAAGGAAGTACTAAACACGACGTGACGCGCATGTCGGGTTTTTGTCGTCATTCCGTACAGGCCCTACGTACAATTTACGACCCGTACAATGACGAAGAGATCACGCTTACTAAGGAGGAGCTGGCTATGGTCATGCNGGATTTCCTAACGGCCAGTTCCCCCATTTGGAGGTACCGGGGGGTGTTGGGGGGGGGAAGGGAAGGGGGGGGGTAAAGAGAGGGGAAGGGAAAGGGGAAAGGGGGGAGGGAGGGAAGGGGGGGAGGGGAAGGGAAAGGGGAAAGGGGGGAGGGAGGGAAGGGGAGAGGGAAGGATCGTATGATGCAATGCGAGCAAAGAGGTATCGGCTGCAGAGGGGGGGGGAGGGGAAAAGGAAAAGGGGAATCCTTAGGTCGCAGAAATGTGGTTGAGGGGAGGGGCGAGGGATGGGGAGGGGGAGGGAAGGGGTATTTCCCAACTGACAACTGAGAGCGGCGCTGCACACCCCCCCGCCGTCATCACCCCACCATCTCTAACCCCACTCCCCCAAAACGCACGTGCAGGTGAATCCGTACGAGCCGTACAATGACTACTTCAGCCGGGAGAGGGAGATGATGCCCATTGTGGACCGGCCCGAACCCAAGAGCCGATTCGTGCCGTCCAAATGGGAGGAGAAAAAGTGAGTGAGCTAGGGGTGTGTGCGTGTGTATGTATGTGCATGTATGTATGTATGTATGTATGTATGGCAGGTGGGTGCCGTTGGGATGGGGGGGACATGCCTGTGGCCAGGTCAAGGGGGGGAAGGGAAGGATGTTCGTGGGGGAGGGGTGATTCGTGCTGCGTTTCAGGGGTGTGTGTGTGTGTGTGTGTGTGTGTTCCTGCCATAACCACTAAGCGAAACCCAGCCGCCGCCCTCACCTTCCCAGCCCCCCTGTCACTCCCTCCCCCCCACCCACACAAACACACCTCCCCTTTCCCCCGCCACCCCCTCATCCCCAGAATTGTGAAGCTGGTGCGGGCCATCCGTAAGGGCTGGATCCGCATAGGGCCCCAGAAGCTCCGCGACCCCGAAGATCTAGAAGATTCCCAGCCGCCCGCCTACTTGCTGTGGGCGGATGACGGGACCGTGGAGGGCGGGGAGGGGGGCCCGGGGGGGAGGAGCGGCAGCGGGTTGACCTACATTCCGGCTCCGAAACCGCAGTTGCCGGGTCACGCGGATTCGTACAACCCCCCGGCGGAGTACCTTCCCACGGAGGTACGGCATATGTGTGTGTGGAGGGGGGAGGGATAAGGTTTTTTGGAGATTGTGTGCGTGGTGTGCATCTGTGTGTGTAACCCTTAAAAACCCTGCAAAACCCTAAAACCCTTTCCCGCCTTGTCGCCAGGTTGGGTCCCTGTCAGCCGCCTGTCGTACCTTATTTACCTTTACCCCCCCAAACCCCTCCCTCCAAACCCAAACCCCACCACCACCCTCCCCCCAAACCCTCCCCCCAAACCTCCACCACCCCCAGGAGGAGATGTCCGCCTGGCGGCTAGCCGACCCGGAGGACCGCCCCCGCCACCTGCCCACCGCCTTCCCCTCCCTGCGTGCCGTACCGGCGTACGGCGACTTCATCAAGGAGCGGTTTGAGAGGTGTCTGGACTTGTACCTGTGCCCGAGAGTCCGGAGGAAGAGGTGGGCGAGGGGGTGGTTTGCGTGTGCGTGCGTGTATGTGCGTGTGTGTTTTAACGATCGTTGGGGGCGCACCACCACCACCACCACCACCACTACTACAGGCGACGAGGGCACCTAGGCTAGTCGCCATTAGACCCACGTAGAATGTCGTGTGTGTTTCGGGGCGTGTCTGTGTCTGTGTGTGTGTTTTTGGTGGTGGGGGGGGGAGAATGGTGAAATGGGGGCTGGGGGTATCCAGGCTGGTCACCGGGCGGCCTGACAGCGCTTTCCGTGCCACCACACCAGCCCCACCCGCCCCCCCCC